CGTAACCGCCCCCGGCGTGTTGTGTCCCCATCCCCGAGCGCGTCCCGCCCCGAGGTGACCCCGCGTCTCCTGCTCTGTCCCCAGGAGCTGCGGGAGACCAAGCGCCGCCACGAGACCCGGCTGGTGGAGATCGACAACGGGCGGCAGCAGGAGTTTGAGAGCAAGCTCTCCGAAGCCCTGCAGGAGCTGCGGAGCCAGCACGAAGCTCAGATCCGGCTCTACAAGGAGGAACTGGAGAAGACCTACGGGGCGAAGGTGAGCAGCACCCGCCCGCCGTCATCCTCTTCCCACCCTGTCCCGCGCGGTGCCGGTGGGCAGAGGGTGCTGGGGATGTTCACCCACCCAATCTTGTCCTCCAGCTGGAGAATGCCAAGCAGTCGGCTGAGAGGAACAGCAACATGGTGGGTGCTGCCCACGAGGAGCTGCAGCAAACTCGCATCCGCATCGACAACCTCTCCTCGGAAGTCAGCCAGCTGCAGAAGCAGGTGAGTCGGGACCGAGGGGTTCCTCTGGTTGTCTCTGTCCTCTCCTGGGGCTGGTGAGGCAGCCACCCTCATAGAATGGTTTGGGTTGGAAGGGACCTTAAAGATCATCTCGTTCCAACCCCCCTGCCATGGGCAGGGACACCCTTCACTACACCAGGTTGCCCAAAGCCTCATCCAACCTGGCCTGGAACACTGCCAGGGATGGGGCAGCCACAACTTCTCTGGGCAACCTGTTCCATCTTCCCTCCCCACACAGTTGGCTGCCAAGGAGGCGAAGCTGCACGATTTGGAGGATATTCTGGCCAGGGAACGTGAGACCAACCGGCGCCTGCTGTCCGAGAAGGAGCACGAGATGGCCGAGATGCGGGCGCGCATGCAGCAGCAGCTGGACGAGTACCAGGAGCTGCTGGACATCAAGCTGGCCCTGGACATGGAGATCAACGCCTACCGCAAGCTGCTGGAGGGCGAGGAGGAGCGGTGAGCACGGGGGCTGCACCTGACGGACTCTGTGGGTCCCAGCCCTCGTGTCCTCGCTGACTCCATCTCACCTTCTCCTCCTGCCCAGGCTGAGGTTGTCCCCCAGCCCATCTTCCCACAAAGGTGGATCCCGGAGCCGCTTGTCCACCCTGAGCTCCTCCAAGAAGAGGAAGCTGGAGGACAGCGAGAGTCGGACCAGCTTCTCCCACCACGCCCGGACGAGCGGCCGCGTCGGCGTGGAGGAGGTGGACTTGGAGGGCAGATTCGTCCGTCTCAGGAACAAGTCCAACGAGGTGCGTTTCGCCTTTGGGGAGGATCCCTGGGGGTGCGATTCAGCCCCACCGCACCCCACGGGTGGGAGGTGAACCAGGACGAGCTGGGGAGGAGCCAGGGGGTCTCAGGGGTGGTGCCATCTCTCTCGCAGGACCAGGCCATGGGCAACTGGCAGATCAAGCGGCAGAACGGAGACGATCCCCCCATCACCTACCGCTTCCCCCCAAAGTTCACCCTGAAGGCTGGCCAGGTGGTCACGGTGAGTCACCACCCACTGAAGGACCCCAGACCCAACTGGGATGTTGGCGATGGGAGCCAGGGCGCCGGCTCCTTGGCGCATGGCTGTTTTTGGGGGGGGTCAGCCCCACGTCCCTGGGGTCTGCGCTCTGCAGCCCTGAGATGTTGCTTTTCTCTGCGCTTTTCTCCTTAGATCTGGGCCTCGGGGGCTGGGGCCACCCACAGCCCCCCCAGCAACATGGTGTGGAAAGCCCAGAGCAGCTGGGGCTGCGGGGACAGCCTGCGCACCGCCCTCATCAACTCCAACGGGGAGGTGAGAGCCGGGGGGCAGCGCCGGCACCGGGCACGGGGGGGTCTGCAGACTCCGAAACCGCCACCCCCCAACTCCTTTCCCGTCCCCTGCAGGAGGTGGCCATGCGGAAACTGGTCCGCACCGTGATCATCAACGATGAAGATGAGGATGAGGATGAGGATGAGGTTAACATGCACCACCGCCATCACCACGTGAGTACCGCACCGGTCCCGGGGGGTCTGTCGCGGGGATGGGGGGGGAGCTCAGATCCAGTCCCGGTCAGGGTGGGAGGCAGCTCAGCATCCCGCAGGATCCAGCCCTAGGGGAGGAGGCAGTTGGGAGGCTGTTGTGGAAGCAACCATGCAGGAGAAGCCAACAGACCTCTGGCACCTGGAGAAGGTGACTGCTTGCCAAAAAAGCACTAGAGACTTTGCTGGAAGTCATCTCCAACCCTCAGCAACCTTGATCCGCCGGGAAAAGGGTTGGAGGAGCCCGGAGGGAGGCTGAGCCGGTGCCTCGCATCACTCGGAGGCGAAGGCCAGGATGGGGGGGAGGTGTTTTTTTTCGTCTCCGTGGCAGCTGCTCCATCCTCTCTGCTACACGAGGGTGCTGGAACAAATCCAGAGGTGACTTCGTCCTCTCTCTCGGCCCGTCGCTCCCCGCATGGAGCTGAAATGTGCACCGGGAAGAGCAGGCAGCGCGCCAGGAGCAGAGCTGCAGCTGCTTCCCCCCGTATCAAAGGAAACATCCCTGGCTGCAGCCCAGGAGCCCCCACCAGCCCATCCCACGGGGAGAGAGCTGTCACGCCCGTGAGGTGCCTGCAGAAACTGTGCATGGAGAGATGCCACCACTGCCACGCTGTGCCTCGGCACTGGTGAAAAGTCTGCTGGGTGCTGCTCCCTGGGGCTCTGTGTGACAGGAGCAGCATGGGGTGTCCCATCATCCACTTTCCGTTGAGCTCTGTGGATCTGAAGAGCCGTGCCAAGATGGATATCGATTCTCCAGCGTGGGCAGCAGGGCGAGGGAGGGGA